TCTTCTTCTTCTTCTTCTTCTTCTTCTTCTTCTTCTTCTTCTTCTTCAATTAACTTTTGACTTCTGGTTTCTTCATTTTTTTCTTTGTTAGTGGTTGAGTGGATGAGGCATGGGAAGGGATAAAATGGTCCTCTAGTTATCTTTTCTCATAGATACCCACCCCCATGCAGTACTTTGGCAGAACTAAAAGTATCGTGGGTCATACACTATCAGTTAGTCTATGGTCTAGTTTGGCTAGGTCACTTTGGAGAAGCCACTTAACCTTTTCATCTCTGTATGGAACATGAAGAAGTGGATAGTCAACTCTGTGCCTTCAGAATCCTAACTCCGGATTTCACAATACACTTCACTAACGGGCATAGTTCACTAAGGTATTATCATGAAATGTGAAAAATTATCACACCTTAGGAATTGGCATACGTTTATGAAATATTGCATCATGTAGGTGTTGAAATGGTCTGAGGAAATAATTTTGACACAGTTCTAAAGGACTGGGATAATATTCTCTAGCCAGGAAGTGGGCTTCTCCTTTCACGGAGGTACTTCTGTGCCCACCCATCACCTCCTGTTTTCCAGACAAGCAAGGCTAGGCTTCTACTTACCGGCTTCCTCTTTGGCACCTCACTAAGGTTTTCGCAAGGATCTGGAAACTCTTCTTGCATTTCCCTAAGATAGTTTACCATGCTGTGTGTGGGCTTTGGAGAGAAGGTTCCTGAAGGTCGCATGTGCCTAATACGAGGGGAGAAAACTTACAGATCTTCAGACCTTGGTGATTCGTGTCTTCGTTTAGCTGCAACTAGCAGAGCCAGGATGGAAAGGAATCCACGACTACCCAATGGATCCGTTGGCTTGCTGTCTCCTTGTTCTTCTTCAAAATGCTGGTAAATACACATGTCACCTTCAACTTGGGGCTGGGTCTTATTCCATCTCCTTTAGGAAGTGTTCTGAAACCCCCAGCCCTGTGTTCAGTAACTTTCACTAAGCACAACCTCGGATGACTTTTCTAATGCGAGTACAATCCAAAACTGTCATAATGTAACTTACGTAACATATGTAACTTTCATAACATAACATAACGTAATATAACATAATGTAATGTAAGGCATTATAAACCTCAGGGTGGCAAGTTATGGTCACATTATTTTCCCACATTATTTTATTCGTTTGATGCATCAGGGCCAACAGCCAACCTTTAATGCAAGAGTCCAGCATTCTCATTCCCAATTTTCTAAAATATGATTCTTTAAATATGTCAAAGTTGCTTCCATTGGGTCTTATTTTTTATTATGCAGTTTGGGGCCAAACTAATTTCATTTTAAATGTATCTTTAAAATGAAAATATAGTCTCGAGACTATATTGGCTTAAAATGTTTGGTCTATTCCGTGTAATTTTAATTGGCATCCGAGGGCCAAGAGAACTTCATTCTTAATAAATCTCTAAAACTACGAAGTGAATTATGGGAAAAATAAGTGGTTGAGCATACAAAATTAAGGGCTTACCCTCTATTTTAGGAGGTTCTATACTAGGGAAGTGGATATTGGCTTGGAATCGCAATAGAGAACTAGCTCTGAGATAATGTACTGAAACATGAATTCTCTATTGACCTTTTCTGCAGAAACTGCAATAACACTGTGGCTTTTAAATAAAGAGGAAGAAAAAAAAAACCCCACGGAGCGATCACAAACGCTGAGAGAAAAAAAAAATTCACTGAGTGTGTACGGCAGATGTGTGCATCCGGTGTCTACTGACACTCGGTTTCAAAAAGGGGTGTGGCAGGTTTTAGAACTAGGATCGCTTAAAAGCGGAAAGGAGCCCAGCCCATGAGAGCCTCAAAACTGAAGAGAGCCTCAGGGCTACTGCCCAACTTGCAATTTGTCCAAGAGGGAGGTAGGTGAGGGGCAAGTACAAAGCCACAGGTGTATCAGTGGTGCAGCCTGGGCCCTGTGTTAGAAGTGCGGCTTCCTTGGATGGTGCTGGGTTTAGACTCACAGCACCTGTCACACCTGCTGAGCCTGGGAACTGCAGACCAATGGCAATCTGTCTGAGTCCCATTCGTTTGATTTGTCGTCGGAAGTGCCCTCTTCTCTTGCGTGGAGTTTGGCAGGTTTGCAGAGAGAAAGTACGCATGGTGGTTTGCTATCCTGAGACACTGTAGAAGTCCATTATCATTTTGCTATCTTGTTGGAAAAAAAACAAAACAGCAGTAATTTGGCCCCGCCGATCAGATCCACCCAGTATGGAGATGCTCTCAGTACCTACAGGGTCTGCGGGCCTCCCTTCTGGTCCACATTCTCTCTCTGTGTGTAACTGTACTTAGTTGTAGAAGTTGTTGAACTTCCAGGGTGGCTTCATGCTAATGGGAAGAGAACGAGCACATAGACTAATCCTGTTCATTCCATTAATGAAGAGAGGTACTGATGCTGTAGACTCTAACGCTTTAGAAGAAAATCATCAGGGGAGAGTTAAAAACACACAGCTCCCTTCGTGGGGCATGGCTTTGGTAAAGATGGTTTCAATTGTGGGTCCTGCAAGCAATTCTCTAGCTTGTCTGGTAGTTCCTCAGCGATAATTTCAGAGCTGTGGGATTGCAAAAGAGCCCCGGGGCCACGATTATACGTAAACTATATTTAGAGGAAATGTTATCAAATCTCAAAAGGAGGTATGTTCTGAACTTAGCTTAATTCGTCTGCACTCTGCCCTTCTACACAGTAACTAGTTATTACGTTCACAGGGCCGTTAACAATAGGCCTTTGTGTAAAACGTGTTCTTCCACTATTTCTGGTAAACACTAAACACCCCTTATTAAGCTGGGGACTTTGGCTGATTCTGTTGGCACCAGGTCATTAAATGCTCGTGTAAATATTGCAATAACGTTTGGCGATTAAGCGAGGTAACAAGGTATGCTTAGGACAACCTAAGTTTTTTTTTTTTTCTCTTCCCAAATTAGTTATTAATACAGTGTGCTTTGTATATATGGCCCCTAGTGCAGATGAAAAAAAATATTCCCCTTAGATGCATACATGTTGTTGTGATGGTCATTTCTCAAAATAGATGATTCCCTTTGTTTAAGCATCTGGCTTAGGAAACCCTGTGGATTCCTGTAAGTCGTTATGTGAAGGTAGTAGTGGGTATTTGTTTCTTGGACAGAGTGGCCAAGTATTAAACACAAAATCACCCTCTGAGAGATGACAGGCAGCTGCCCAGAGGCGGTCCCTATTCCCCATGGGCAGGGCACCCTTGGTGCAAACGGCTTAGCAATTAGTGATGTATGAAGACCGGAAGTACCTGAGAAGAATTGCAAACCTGACACTGCGTGAGGTGACTTAGTTAAGCACAGTGGCTGATCGGCAGCCCTCACTCTTCAGGAACCTGGGCCAGTTAAGTCTTGTGTAAGGCCTGTTTACAGTGTGGTGTGGCTCAGAGTCTTCACAGGGCTCTTTTTCTGGGGTTTCAGTGGGGAAAGTTTTTGCAGGCCGCTAACAGACAGCACACAAAGTGCTGCTGGCGGGTCTGTTTTTGTGAATCTCGCCGAATCCAGAAGGCTCAGCGGAGGATTATGTTAGCCTTGTGAGGTAGAGTGTGCAAACCGTAAACCTCGCTCTTGCTTGGCCAGAGCAGAGCGGTGTGTACAGATGTTGAGGCTGATGCTGCCTGATTTGCCAGACATAACGGGGGACATCCCTGTCCTTTCTCACTCAGTACCTGAATGCTCATCAAAACTTCATCTGTCACTCGCTCCAGGGCTGACTTTACGTCATCAATGGTGAAGCCTCCTAAGGGATCTTCCTCTCCCGTTTCACTCTCCAGCAGGCGTTCCTGAGACCCCTGCTCTTGATCCAGCATCTAAGACAGTGGAAATAAACACATTCAGGTATTGAAAGTAAGAAACATTCAGGTGAGCACTTGAGTGCTCAGAGATTTATGGGCAACCTCAGACTTCTACTCTGTGTGGCCCTACCAGGAGCAGTATTGAACTGGAAAGAGGCTCTGATTTTATGTTACCATGTGTCTTAGGGATTACAAGAGACTCGGGAGGATCTCAGTGGTGAAGCCTGGATAGAATGTGGAGACGAGAAGAAAAGCAAAACCCTTTGGACCACCATTAGCTGGCCTGTGAGTGAATCTAAAGTCTAAGAGGAATTGACCAGGGAAAATGAGGGGGTGGGGTGGGGAGGGAGAGGCCATGAGATCTCTTCATCTTGTGCCGTGATAATGCTTTTAGCAGGACGAGGAAAGGCATTCTCAAGCCTACCTTCTGTTCCGTGTCCGGCGTTGGCAACGGCTCTATGAAGGCTGAATACGTGTCCAATGACATACCTTCTTCCAGGGGGGGTGGTAAAGGATAATCTGCAGGCTTGACAACCTCTATGGTTTGCTGGAAAAGAAGAGCTTTGGGTGAGGGGCTCTGTCTCAGACAGTTCCCTCACCGGACTGCCGCATCAAATCTGGTATCTTACTTAAGTACCATTTGCTTCAAAGCTGTTGATACTATTGCCTTCATTGTTGCCTGATGTTTTCCATGCAACCATCTCTCACTCACAGTTAGCATCGTCTTCTCATGGTTTCTGGGCTCTGAGGTTGAGGGATCATTCATTTGCCTCTCACTTCTGTCTACTAGCTCTTTGTAGACACCCTGTTTATCTGTCTTCCCCATTTGCAGCAGAAGGTTTGGTCCTTACTACACCCAATAATGGCTGATTGTCACAGTTTAGCAGGATGTCGATGCTCTTGTGGGTACAAGCGAAATGGCTATCACCAGCCCAGGGCAATAGGGCCTGCTTTTGCTGAGGACCTGAGTTTTAACCCCAGGACCCACATGAAAAACAACAACAAAAACCAACCAAGCAAGCAAAAAACAAAACCAAACTAAAACAACAACAACAAAAAACAAAGCCAAGCATGGTGGTATGTGGTTGTAATCTTAGTGCTGAGGAAGCAAAGGCAGGAGGGTCCTTGAGGATCACTGGTAAGCTCCAATGTCAGAAAAGAAAAGAGGATAGGATAGGATAGGATAGGATAGGATAGGATAGGACAGGACAGGACAGGACAGGACAGGACAGGACAGGACAGGACAGGA